CGACCGGGAGTCGAACCCGGAACTATTGCTTGGAAGGCAACAATGCTAACCGTTACACCATCGACGCCGACGGGGAATTTGTTGCACTTAACCGACATATACAATCGTTTCAGTCTGACGGATCTTGACCTACTAATTGTAGAAAACATGGTAAATAGTTAAGTTAACAGGAAAGAATTTTTTGGCTTTGTTAATTCGATAATGTTTGTCGATGGTGTAACTGTTAGCATTGTTGCCTTCCAAGCAATAGTTCCGGGTTCGACTCCATGTTGACGCATATGTTCATTCCTATTTTGTGTCATTTTCCTTCAAGTGGTCCATTGGCTTTCGCTCTTGCTTTTACTTCGTTTGTACGCAAACGTGTAACATCTATTTCTTGACTACAAATCAAATCTTTATAGACCACAGTGTCCATATTCCCGAAAGTTTGTTTGTTTGCAGTCCAGACAATCCACCCTATGTTCTCTGCCAGCTAGCGTTTGTTGTAATTGATGAGGTTTTCTTAATCATTAGCTAACGTCGCGTCGATGGTTTAACGGTTAGCATTTTTGTCCAAGTATTATGTCAGGGTTCGATTCCCGGTCGACGCAGATGTGCGTTATGTGTGCAAAGGCGTTATTCTTTGTTGACTACGAATCAAGCCTTTTCCATATTTTCGAATGATTGTTTGTTTACATTCCAGGCTATTCACCCTATTTATTACCGAAACCAGTTACAAATTAGCTGGCATATCCCTCTCAACCAGATAGCTATTTTGCTATTCTCTTGCCATCAGTTGTTATCTTGTCTCAGCTGTTATTCTATTATAACTTTAAAATTTAACGTTCACGGCAGCGGCGCCACAGCTCAGTGGTATCGTAACTAGTCGAACATATAGTTTGCATTAAGCATTCGTTTGCGCCAGATTTGTCGCTGTATAATTAAGATCTAGGTTTAAATCTACCTTAGAATAGCTGAATAGTTTAACTCTGCAATCTTCGTCTCTTTGAACATCTTGCGATATGCCGAACTCCAACGCAAACATGGCTTCCAATGACACCACTAAGCCAAAACCAATATTGAGTAGAAGCCTACCTGGCTTCTCTCCAATTACCCCTATGCCACCTCAGCACATCGGATCAAACATACAAACAACTCTTCAGGAAATAATCCAGAGAAATATTGAATTGCAACTTCCTGCCCTAATTGCTAGATGCATCGCAGATAACTTTTCTCCTGCTAATCTCTCATCAGAATACCTACCTTTAGATTCGTATGAAGCGCGATATGACAAAATTCTGTAGCGAAATATTCTGAGCCGAAGTTGAGTCAATGTGTAACAACTATACAACCGTTTATCTTTGTAAAGAAAATTTTAATAGCTGTTTTGAAACTTTTCTTGGCCATCTGAAATGCTTAATCAACAAACATGCCCCATTACGACCCTTATCGCGCAAAGAAAACAAACTTTCTTATAAACCTTGGATCACCAGGGGAATTCGTAGTTCCATTAAATAAACACAAAAATATTATGCATAAAAAAAGTTTCTAAAGGGTAATGCAGTCCAACGTAGCTACTTCAAAAAGTTTAAAAATATGTTAACACATTTGCTGAGGTAATCTAAGCAGATGTACTACCATAGTGTCCTTGAAAGCAATCGAGGTGATATTAAACGCACATGGCAAACCATTAACGACATTATTAAGATCAAGTCCATAGATAATACATCCATCTCAGAATTGGAACTCGAAAACGGTACTTCAGTAACCGACCCAGTTACGATTGCCAGTTTTTTTAATAAATACTTCTCGACAATCGGAATGAATCTTGCAAATAAAATCCCACATATCTCAAAATCATTCGCCGACTTCTTGGGTGCTCCAATGCAAAACTCCTTTTTTCTCGAACCCACTTCTTCCACGGAGATTATCCAAATAATTTTAAATCTGAAAAAGAGTAAAGCAATTCGGCCCGATGGTGTTCCATCCCACTTTCTAGGAACAGTTGCCGATATAATATCACCTACACTAACCCACTTTTTTAATTCAGCCTTCACATTAGGCATTTTCCCTTCTTCTTTAAAGATTGCTTTAAGTGGTTCCCATATTTAAAGGTGGTAAAAAAAATGATCCATCAAATTACAGGCCCATTTCCATTCTACCCTCTATAGGTATAATTTTAGAAAAATTATTATATAAGAGAATCCTTAAATTTTGTACAAATTTCCACCTAATTAACAAATGTCAATTTGGCTTTCAAACTCATACTTCCACCAGTCACGCTATTTTTGATTTAACCTCTTTCATTTACGATAAACTGGACAAAGGAGAATCTGTCTGTTGTATCTTTCTCGATTTGAAGAAAGCTTTTGATACCGTCAATCATAGAGTTCTATCCCATAAGCTTAGACATTACGGTTTCCGAGGTGCTGCAGGCAACCTATTAGTTAATTACCTGTCCGGTCGTTCACAATTTGTGGAGGTGGATTCTCACAGGTCTCCAGTGTTCCCCATCTATTGCGGAATTCTCCAAGGTAGTGTACTAGGACCACTTGGATTCTTGATCGCAATTAATGACTTCTCTAACAGTTTAAATTTTCTGACCAAACTCTTTGCCGACGATGCGTGCCTGCTTGACAGTGCAAAAGACTTAACTTCGCTCCAAACCAAAGTGAACACTGAAATAAACAAAGTTTATGATTGGATGATTTGTAATAAGTTCACAGTGAATGTTGATAAATCGAAGGTGATGAAACTGATGATATTCTGTCCCAAAACACGCACTAGACTTGCTAACTTTACAATTAAAATTAATGGTATTTCGCTTGAAGTTGTCCCTTCTCATAAATATCTCGGACTCCATATTGACAGTCATCTAAAATGAAACACTCATATCACTGAAATCCAGAAGAAGCTGTCAAGATCTGTGGGAATTCTGGGCAAGCTTCGGCATTACGTCCATGACATAAACCTGCGAACCGTATATTTTGCCATATTCCAGTCACACATCCAATATGCCATAGCTGCATGGGGCTCTGCAACCCAGACAAATTTGCGTAAATTAGAGGTCCTCCAGAATAGGGCCGTTAGAGTTCTCTCTAGGGCGCCTTTTCGTTCTAACATAAACACCCTATACCATAAGACCAAGGTGTTAAAACTATCCGACATCCACAAACTAGAAATCTCTAAAGTAATGCATCTATTCCACAACCACCAGTTGCCTGCAGCTTTTGACGATTACTTTGTTAAGCTTAGTAATGCACATGAACATAATACGCACTCTTCGACAAGGTCCAATCTATTTGTACCCCACTTTTCAACGGGCAAAACTCAGAACTCCCTGAAATATAAAGGCATGATCCAATTCTGAGAAAAGATATATATAGGTACACGAATTGATTAACACAATGAATGAAATTTTTTTTTGTAATTGGTCTAAACTTCCTTAATATTCATCCCTTGTGGCTCGTGTGTCCCGAAAAGATTACATTCATCTTTTCGGGACACACATTCATTGTTTTAATCAATTCTTGTACCTAATATATTTTTTTCTCAGAATTGGATCATGCATGGCCAGATATGCTATTAACAGACAAAATATCACTATATTACATTTGACACACAGACAACTTTTCTGGTCTGCATTATACAATACTGAGAAACAAAACACCATTGTTTAATTTGGACTTCAATTGCTAAATATAATACAAAGAGAGAGATCTCATCAATGACACTTATTTCGGCCACCCGCTGGTATTTAATCAAGAAATTCACCGATTTTATTGATTATTTAACATGCGTGACTCCTATAATTCTACACTGATTGTTTAAATATGCATGTAACTACTTTTCGTGTTGTAGTTGAACAATGTATGTCTGAAGATGTCTGACCTTGGTCAGACGAAACGTTACAGAAATATATTTGTGTTAGTGTGCAGCAAGACTCTTGAATCACTTAGGATAGAATGGAATGATGTATTTACCTGTTATTTTCCATTTCTCTGTTTACATGAATTGGATTGTATTTTCATCCAATACCAATTTCTTCGTCCAATTTTCCAATGACTCCAGTTCTGGAAACCATACCACAGTGCCAATACTTTCTTGAACTTGCTCCCATATTTAAGATAATTGTAACCATCAAGATGTGCTTATATTTCAAAATATATTTCTTAATAACTAACTGCCTTAAGTACGTATGTTTCGTTACGTGTTTCATTACGTGTATGTTTCATTTTGGTGAAAAATAAACGACTGACTGAATACAACTTTTTTTGATATTTCTACATCAGGAGTCATTTTTAGTCAAATCGGTCCATGATCTTTCGCTCCTGTTTCAATCTTTCGTTCTTTAGTAGATGATCGCGTTGAACAGACGTGTCGTTAAATTTCAAAGTTATAATAGAATAACAACAGAGACAAGATAACAGCTGACGGCAAGAGAACAGCAGAATTGCTATCTGGTTGATAGGGATATGCCAGCTAATTTGTAACTGGTTTCGGTAATAAATAGGGTAAATAGACTGGAATGTAAACAAACAATCATTCAAAAATATGGACAAGGCTTGATTCGTAGTCAACAAAGCTAGCAGAAAACATAGGGTGGATTGTCTGGAATGCAATTAAACAAACTTTCGAGAATATGGGCATTGTGGCCTATAAAGATTTGATTTGTAGTCAAGCGTTGTTGTCTTCCAAGCAATAGGTCCGGGTTTGACTCCCGTTCGACGCAGATGTTAGTTCCTCTTATCTGTCATTTTTCTTTAAGTCTGCCCACAATTTTTCGCTTTTGATTTTATCCTTTTCTTCATTTGTATGCAAATGCTTGGAACCATTACTCGACTGCAAAGCAAATTATTATATGCCACAGCGTCCATGTTCCTGAATGATTGTTTGTTTACATTCCACACTAGTCACCCTATATATTAATATCGTATTATATAGCCACATATGGCCTGTGGGCCACGGGTTGGAAGACCCTGTATAAAGGTATAAGTTACAATTAAACACAGTCACCGACGGCCGCTATAGCTCAATGGTAGAGCACTGGTATCGCAAGCCAGTGGGCGTGGGTTTGATTCTCACTGGTGGCATCGTACATGTTTATTTACAGCGTGACCCACAAACTCCCTTCACAAAAGTCGGTATAATATTTTTAGTGTACCTGATATTATTTATTTAATTAATTAAATCAGCCAAGAAAGTTCATAGCACAATTGGTTACATATGGTATTTACTATGAGTTGGACAATGTTTGGCAAAAAAATGCACAAAAAGGATAAGCTGGAAACGTTTTGGCACCTATGCACGCTGTATAGATGGTGCACAGAAAATTATTATTATTATGCAGTCTTTGAGTGTGGGAAAAGAATCAATACACATATACCGACATACAGAATTTGCCGTCACCGATTACCATATTGGAACAATTGTGAAATCTTCATAATGAGCAATATCAAGCTACACTAGCATCTATGAAGTGGGCTTATGGGCCGTTTTACTAAACTGTTGCTATTGTTCAGAAAAAGGCTTTTCGTTTACATCAGATAAACGAATCTAATACAGATTTCCAGTGCTTGAAAACGGAAGATGTCGCTAGAGGGTTATTACATTTTGTGTTTTGTAATTGGTTTGAGGGTCACTTTTGTCCGCCGATCTATATTCCAAACTCGTTGCTCTAACTTTGTGCCAGTCGGGGGCGTGGCCAAAAATTTTCAATGAGGTGGGGGTAAGGGGGTCTGAAATTTTTAATTGCCAAGTCAGACCGTAACAGCTAGCGGGTCCGTGGCTCCTTGAAAGTCTTGAGGATCTAAAAAGCGTTTTAAGCTACGAAAAATTGCTTCGTATGATACTGATGAAATGTCTTTTTTACATTTCAATAAAGGGTTCGACTCGCGCGTCACTCTGGTAACATTACAATTGCGCAACCTCCGTGGTTTACACTAAAGAATTGTTTTCATATTTAGATTAATGCCTTCTAAACCACCGGGTCTCAACAAGTTGGCCATGGGCCATTTCTGGCCACAGAAACGTTTTCAGGTGGGCCACAAACCTATTCGAAATAGGTAAATTAAAAATTTGATTGTAGTAAAAACAAATAATGATGCTGTATTTGCTGTGATTGGTAATTTTCATTTTGAATACTGAAGTAGAAGTGTCTATCTTTGCTGAAGGAACTATCTATTGGATTTCTTGTAGTTTTTCCCTTGCATGAGAAAGTTATTGGGCCACAGAATTTTTTTATGTCACAGAGGTGACAAAAAAAAGGGTCGAGAACTGTTCTAAACAAATGCAAATGCGAGAAGGTAAAATTTCTTTTCAAAGCTGTTGGTTTCGAATAAATTTGATCCAAAATTTCTTAATAATTCCTTGTATTATTGAAATATAATGGATTACAATGTCACATGTACTTTGCAATACAAAAAAAAAAACTAGTCATATTTATATTAGCATTTTTAAATTCTATTTAATGTTGTAAAACATATTCACTGTTTTATACATTTATTATCATAGGAAGTTTATTTCTTGAATGAAACTTTAAATAAGCTACCTTGAATGCACGTTGAGCGCGTTTGAAGTTGGTGAATGTCGAGTTCAAAACTCCAAATGAGGTATTTGAGTTTATTTCCCGTAAGTTAAAATAATTGCGTGTTCAAAACACCGACGTAGCATGAAATGTTTTGCTTAATCGTGAAAAAATAGCAATAGTCAATTTGTTACCAATAGATAATTTTATGACCATAAGAAAGCAGGAGGAATAAAATAGGTATCGAGTATATAGAGTGCTATTTTATAAAATATTGCGTACTCCCGTAGTGTATGTACCAGGTTAGGGTTAGGGCATAATTTTAATCCGATTTTTCTTATTTTAGTTCTATCGCGAGTTTGGCGACTTTCTGTATTAGCCAAGTATATATATTCCCTGCCCAAAGGTTTCAGTCTCTTTACACAACTTGATGTAAAGTAGGTAAACAAACTTAGTTACCTCCACATTGGTACACACACTTCTGGAGCGCCAAATGTTTTTCGTAATCGTGGAAAAACATAGTCATAGTCGGCGCTCCAGAAGTATGTGTACCAATATGAAGGTAACTAAATTTGTTCGCCTACTTTACATCAAGTTGTTTAAAGGTACGGAAGCCTAAGGAAATGGCAAACACAGGCAGTCCCGAACTCGTAGTAGAACTAAAATAAGACAAATCGGAATAAAATTATGGCCTAACCTGGTACACATACTACGGAAGTAGCCAATAGTCGAAAGTTTCTTTAATGAGCGTCTATTTTATAAGTATAAAGTTATATTTTATTTTGCAAAGAAAGTTGTATAAACAACACAAATCTGGCTATCTAGTGACGGACATTTTGTAGAGAAAATAGTATACACCACGCAAGACTGATTATCTAATGGCAAACACCAGAGTGAAAACTATCAGATATTAAAACGAAAACAGTTTAATGCAGTAGTTTTTAAACAATTTGGCGTAGGCAAGTTTTTGATTAAAATAAGAATATTTGTTATATTTGATTTTGCCGCCACATTATGGATATTTACATTTCTTTATTTTGGATATTTACGTTCCATCCACGTATTTTCAACGAAGTTTTCGAATAAGACATATTTTTGCCTTACTATCTTTTATTTGTAGCTTATTGTTAGCGAGTAATTTTTGTGGTGGAGCGCGAGACAGAATAATTCTTATAATTGGGAAATAATTCAAACTTTTATGGTAAAATAAAATTTCCAAGTGAAGGTATCGACGATTGATACTTGAATATGCATGACTAATTGAAGATAAAGGATTCTACGGTTCGACCTCGGTTGGCCAAACTACAAACATACAAACATGTTTTTGGACTAAGGGCCAAAATTTCGTTCACCCAGACTGGCGGGTCATGCATGTGTGATGCAAAAAGTCCGATTTTAGAACAATATATACAGTGCTACAAAAACAAAAAACGGAGAACAATTAGTCACGTGCCAAAATTAAATTTAATCGCAATCTCAACAAATTCCTTGAGCAATTTTTCAGCTGAAACATCAAATTTTGGCTTTATTCTGATTGTGGCAGGGCCGTAGTTTGCTCATGTCAGCTTCAAACAAAATTGGGACTTTCTGCTAGGACCAAAAAGGTGGGCAATAGCAGACTCCGGTCAAACCAAGTTTACGAACTAGTATTATAAAACATCATGTATGTGTGACAGTTTGACTGCGCGTATTAGGAAGCACATCAAATAATAACAATCAAATTCGCCTATTTTAAGTTTTATCTAAGAAATAAACTTCATATTATAATAAATTTATGGAAGAGTAAATCTTTTCCAAAGTTAAATAAAATTTTAATATTCCATTATAAACATAAATACGGCTAGTTTATTTTGTATTGCAAAGTACATGCGGCATTGTAACCTATTATATTTCAACAATACAAAAATTATTAGGAGTGTGAGGTCAGAAATGTTGGATCAAATTGATTCAAACCAACAGCTTTGAAGAGAAAGTTTAGTTAAAGCTTCTTGCATTTGTTTGCATTTGTTTAGAACAGTGGTTCTCGACCTGTTTTATTCCGGGGCTCACCCCTTGGGCATAAAAAAAATTATGTGGCTATTCAACTTTCTCATGCAAGGGAAAAACTATAAGAGATCAAATAAAAAGTTCCTTCAGCAAAGATAGACACTTCTACTTCAATATTCAAAATGAAAATTACCAATCACAGACTCAATAGCAAATACAGCATCATCATTCGTTGCTACTACAATCAAAGTTTAACTAATTTATCAATTTCTAATAGGTTTGTGGCCCACGTGAAAGCCTTTCTGTGGCCAGAAATGGGCCATGGCCAACTGATTTAGAACCGGTGGTTTAGAAGGTATTAATCTAAATAAGAAAACAATTCTTTGAATAGAAACGACGAAGGTTGCGCACTTGTCTTGGCGACAGGGTGACTCGAGAGGAGAAATTCCTCTTGAAATATAAAAAAGGCATTTTTCTGTATTATACAAAGCAATATTTGGTAGCTCGAAACGCTTTTTAAACCCTCAAGACTTTTAAGAATCCACACTGACACGCTAGCTGTCTAACTTGGCAAATAGAAATTGTTGACCCCCTCCCCCTCAATAAAAATTCTTGGCTACGCCCTGGACTGGTAAAACGTTAGACCAAAGAGTTTGTAGTAAAGATCGGCGGATTAAGGTGACAAAGTGTTGGTTTATTCGAATTCAGTGTTTATTAGGTTTTTGAAAACAAGCGCTTTTTATGAGAGAAATCTTGACTCAATTAATTAAGAAAATGCACGTTAAGCTCTTTCAAGTTGCTGAAAGTCTATACCGTGTTTCCCCGAAAATGAAGCTGAGTCCTCTTGTAATTATTGTTTTTTGAAAAATAACACTAGGGCTTATTTTCGGGAGGTGGGTTATATTTATCAATTATCAAAAACCAGTTTACAAAGTAGAGAATTTCTTGCTACCTACTTGGTCAGAAAAAAAAAGTTTGCGGTATTGACCAGGTCTTATTTTAGGGGAGGGCTTATATTAAAATCATTTATAAAATTCTTGCTAGGTCTTATTTTCAGGAAAACACGTTAGTTTAATTCTTCAATTGAGGTATTTTAGTCGATTTGGCGTATTTCGAAATAATTGCGTTTTCAAACAACGGTCTTAGTAAAAATTGTTTTGCGTAATCGTGGAAAACATAAGAATAGTCGATTCGTTACCAGTGGTTTATTTTTTCATCATAAAACAGCAGAAAAAGTAAAATAAGTATTGAGTATATAGAGTGCTATTTCATTTTGTAAAAAAAATTGTATGAATAACACAAGACTGGCTATCTAGTGGTGAACACCACAGTAAAAACACTAGATATTAAAAAGAAAACAGTTTAATGCAGTAGTTCTCAAAAGGGCGGAGGCAAGTTTTTTAGGGGACGTGAAGCTAATTAAAAATGCGAATACTTGGTATTACCGCTTTATTTTGGATATTCACCTTCCATCCACGTTTTTTCAACGAGTTTTTCCAATAAACATTCTTACTATCTGTTATTTGGGATTATTGTTAGCTAGTTATTTTGAGATGAGGCGAGAGTCTTGACAAAGTCCTAAAATGGGGTGCGGCTTAAAGAGTGTGAATATCACTGGTTTAATTGACAGCATACATTATCTGAAAAATTTGTATTTACAAGAATGAATTTCCAATTTTTGATAAATGAGATTTTAAAACTCCTGGTGTTATGGCTCTGGATATTTAACTCAGAATTTTTCTTCCCAATTACTTAAAAGTAAATAGGCCATACTTGGCTGCCTAGGTCACCTTTACCCGCCGATCTTTACTACAAACTCTTTGGTCTAACGTTTTAACAGTCCAGGGCGTAGCCAAGAATTTTTATTGAGGGGGAGGGGGTCAACAATTTCTATTTGCTGAGTTAGACAGCTAGCGTGTCAGTGTGGATTCTTAAAAGTCTTGAGAGTTAGCGTTTCGAGCTACCAAAAATTGTTTTGTATAATACAGAAAAATGCCATTTTTATATTTCAAAAGGAATTTTGCCCCTCAAGTCACCCTGTTGCCAAGACAATTGCGCAACCTTCGTGGTTTCTATTCGAAGAATTGTTTTCATATTTAGATTAATACCTTCAAAACCACCAGTTCTCAACCAGTGCGCCACGGCCCATTTCTGGCCACAGAAACGTTATCAGGTGGGCCACAAACTTATTAGAAATAGGTAAATCAGGTAAACTTGTAGTGTTAACCTGGTTTTTGAATAAACACACTTCTCCTCATCATTGGTTGCCATCTACTGAGAGCCAAAAATAGGCACGGGTTGCACGTTTTTTTTAGGGGGTAGAAAAGGGGAGCGTATAAAAGGCCACGACTGTACGGCGAGGATTCAGTGATTATCTGTCAGTCTGGACCGAAGTTTTGATTTGTTTAAGGTTCATAATTGTGTTGTTAGAAAGACTGATGCGGGAAAATTTACTTTTTATATCAGGAGAAATGACATCCAAAACTTGCACCATACATTCGCGGAAAAATTCCTTTTCAACAAACGGGCGATTTTTTTTAGTGATGTTATGGGCTACAATAGAACTGGCTAATAACGTGGATTTACTTTCATTTGACATTTTTTTAACATGTTGTTAGACTTTTGTATGAATTTAGCGATGAATTAAATAAATAAAAAAAATGGCGCCTAGTGTTGAATTCCTTCAGAACTGGAATATTTTGTTGGCAAGGAAGACAAATCGCTTGAATTGTTACGAATATGCACGTGCTTAAACTGTGATAATGATGTAACAATTGCCGGTATCTAAAACGTAAAAAAGGTAAAAACATGAAGTTTCAAACGTATTAGTATTTATTTACGGTTAAAATTTAACCGTTAAACTATTTCACTTAAGTTCGGCGGGCCATTTTAAATCGTTACGCGGGCATAGCGTTTACCCTTTCGACTGTTTGACATTAGCAAATTCCTTCATATTCTAAACGGAACTCATGCTTATTCATTGTCCAAATTATGGTTTGTTTCTAAAAACAGTATCCCTAAACACTAACAGCAACTATTGTAACTGTGCCACAGTTTGCCTGGTAATACTGCAAACCCTGCCATAAACAGAAACAGTTCGCGCTGAGAGTGAGATAGAGTCCGAGACATGAGGACACGGTGGAAGGTGGATAATTGATACGTTACAATAATATTAAGCGAAGCGTGAATAATGATAAACATAGTCTGTCGGGCGGAAGCTTTGTACGCAAAACAAAAACGAGTCTTCAATGTTTCTAAGAAAAAATAAGCAAGTAACTCAAAATTGAGCACAATAGAAATAAGCACGATATGGCAACCCTGTTTGTAGCCTATTGTTGTTAGCTAGTTATTTTTAGGTGGGGCGCAAGACTTGATAATTTTTTAAAAGAGGGTTCATCTTTTGAAAAAAAAATTTTGCGTTACTTTTTCAACTTTTAAAGAATAAATTTTGCGCTACTTTTTCAACTTTTAAGGAATAAATTTTGCTTTACTTTTTCAACTTTTAAAGAATAAATTTTGTTTTAGATTAAATTTCGCGTTACTTTTTCAACTTTCAAAGAAGAAATTTTGTTTTAGATTAAACTTTTGCGGTACTTTTGCAGCTTTCAAAGATTAAATTTCGCGTTGATTTTTGAACTTTTGAAGAATAAATTTCGCGGTAATTTTTCAACTTTTGGAGATTATATTTCGCGTTACTTTTTTAATTTTTGAGGATTAAACTTTGCGTTACTTTTTCAATTTTTAAAGATTAAATTTTGCCTTACTTTTTCAACTTTTGAAGTATAAATTTCGCGGTAATTTTTCAACTTTTGGAGATTATATTTCGCGTTACTTTTTTAATTTTTGAGGATTAAACTTTGCGTTACTTTTCCAACTTTCGAAGAATAAATTTCGCGTTACTTTTTCAACTTTTGGAGAATAAATATTGCGTTACTTTTTCAACACTCTGTATACTTGATGGGGTCACGACCTTAAAAGCTTGGAAATACATGGATAATATAACATCTCAAAAATGTTTTAACAACTAATCATAACAGTCTATTAAAGTCGTCTTACTAATCTTTTGTGATCAATATTTAATTTCCTTTTTGTTTGGAGCTGAAGTCGGAATTATTATGACCTGAGTCAACTTTGTTCTTAACCTGGAGTAATAAGTCGATTGTAAATTTGGTCCTGACTCTACAGCCCCGTTATAAGCTGCATGTTTAACTTTCCTAAAAATAAGTTATCACTAATGTCATGCGTTGGAGAAATTTCCAGAGCCGCAAGTCGGAGTTTCATTCTTTTAATGGTGATAATAAAATTCCTTTCTTCAAAAACCCAGAAATCATCAAACTTGCTAAGTAATTTAAACAGTCCGATTTTAAGCCGATGTTATAAAAATAAAATTAGAGTTTCATTGAGGTCTGAGCTGGAGTCGGAAAGTGGATTGTGAATTTCCCCAACCGTATAAACCTGTTTTAACCCTTTTAATCAGGGGTTGGCAAGGTTTTTATAACAGGGACCAAACATTTCGCACATCTGGACTGACGGTCCATGTAAGTGTGACGTAAAAAGTTACATTTTACAAACAATATTTACAGTGTGACAAAAACAAAGTGGAAAACGATAAGCATCGTGCCAAAACTAAATTTGATGCAATCTCAATAAATATATTTTCTAGCTAAAACTCCCTTTCCTCTCTTTTTTTTGTACTTGGCCTTGATAACTTCAAACCCATATAAAGTTCTAAATTTTTATTCAATCACCATCAGAGTAATTCATTAGAGAAAAGAGCTAGAGAACATTCAATATGTTAAAAAATTACAGACAGGATTTGATTAATTGTTGTTTGAAATGAGAAAACTTATAAAAAGAATTATTCAAAGAAAATAATGTAAATGTTTATCGAATTTTAGAATATCGGGAAAGTTATTTTTGAAAAATTTATTACATGTTTTCAGAGCCATATAGGTATAGATATTCAATTTACAAAATAATATGCTTAGTTCAATAAAGATTATTATTCAATTATTCCTCAAAAATTTACCACGTGTTTCTGAGCAGTCTTCCAGAGTGTTTTGCCGTTTACACCACCAATACATGATTATCCATTCACTGTTACACACCAGCCAAAGATAGATACAAGATAAATCACAAATATTTACATTTAAAATGAATGTTATTAAAATTAAAGAATACAATCTCCCAATTCTCCATCATCACTCATTTTTTTCAAAAAAATATTTATTATTTGACGTCCGCCGACTTTCTTCAGTGATGAAACCGCTTATGAATCACTCTTTAATAACAAAACCATCCCTCCAAACATTTACTGTTCGAAAACTACAGCTAAATAGCTCAGTATGACCTCAATCAATCACATCGTAAACAAAGAATGATCCACTTTTTAGTTTTCATTTTCTCATTTTGAGCGTTTTTTTGAAAGAGAAACGCTTCACTGAGTATTTGAGTTGCATAACAACACGTTTCAAACGGGGAAAAAGCATACGAAATACACGAGAGGAGGATGTAAAATTTTTGTGCCAACTGATAGTGGTGCTCTCTTTTTGTATATTGAGCCCCCTTGTAAAAGAGAATTGCGGAGAAACATCTTACTAATAACTTGCAACATATGTTGGGATGTCACACAAAAAGTTTGAGTATGGTGAAACCACTTGGGTCAGACGAGAGATGTTTTGAACATTTTTGTACCAATGGCATCCAAAAGAAGTTTTAACTTTATTAACGTTTTTTTATAGATCAATTATAACTAATCTTTTACGATGGAGAAATCCATGGTGATTATCCTTCTGCTAATTTGCCACATTGCAATTACAACTGTCGTTGCTCAGCATTCGATGCCGTTTCCATCAAAGGGAGGGGATTCATGCAACGTAGTTCAAGTCAACTGCGGGTCGGCCGCTCCTGTTAACGATGAAAGCGCCTCTCAGCACCTTAAACAGCCGGGGCCACCCGGGAAGCGTGGCCCCAAAGGCGACTTGGGTCCTATTGGGCGTGCTGGACCCCAAGGTATCAAAGGAGCAAAAGGAATAATTGGGGGTGTTGGACCAGCCGGTGATAAGGGAAGTCAAGGTTCAAAGGTCAGTAAACTGGGCAAGTTTTTCAATTTTTGATTCTAAACGTTTTTCATTTTTGTAAAAGCTGCCACTCAACAGTATCGAGTTACCAATTTTGAAGGGACAGGTTTTTTCGGTTCAGTATTGTCTACCAAATTTATTACACCTTGGGTGAGGTGGTGAGCGGTGGAATTTTTTGTATGCATGTGCGCGGTTATCTGCATATTTAGTACCCATTTGTTTTTGTGTATAGCCTTATTACTGATCAGTCGATCGCAAGCGATTTTGAAGATTTTAGTTGATCGCGGTCGAAAGCAGGTTGGCCACCTTTGAAATAGGGTAAGGCTGAGCTATACTGTCTATGGGCAGCGAAAAGTTATTGAACACGAAGTAAACTTATGAATCGTAGTGTTATTATGTTGTCAATATTTTTTTTTTCTTGTTACGGAATTCCTCTTCAACTACTGATGCCAACTACCAATTGCTTTAAAGTTTTCAGTAAGGAAAGATTGTATTTTTCGCTAGAATTACTTTTATTTACTTCAAAAACTTTTGCCGGCTCCAAAGAATTCGTTTTTCGTGTGCGTTGACGTCATCAAAATTGCGTTCCTTGTGGCGGTTTCGCCTTCGCGTGTGCGATATTGTGTTCAGGCGAAGTCGTGAACAGTGTGACATGCTGCTGTGACAAACTACATACCCGTACTACTTCGTGTCCATATATTTGAGCATAGCTCTCTAGTCTAGCCCTACTTGGTAAGGTTTTTTGGTACTTGGTAAAATTTTTCTTGCAAAACTAACCCCCAATGCAGATTAAATCACCGTAAGGGAGAACCCGGGTCTTTTGTACAAAGCCTCCGCCAATGATGCCAAAATGTGAGGTTTGATAAAAAAACAAGAGAGCTGTACTCAAATATATGGACACGTAGAGTCACATAATTTTGATGACGTCATAGCGAAAAAAAAGTAATACCCTTCTGGAGAAAATTTTTATCTTTAACCACTGAAAATTTCAAAGCAATTGGTCCAGTATTCGAAGAGAAAAGCGACTTTTTAAAAACGTGTCAAAGAACAACAAGAGAGCAATGCTCAAATATATGGACACGCAGAACAATCCCCCAAAAATCATATGCGGTGACCAACGACTAACATACCGGCGGTGACTTACCAGTACCTGTATCGGGGTACCGTGACGGTACAGGGACTGTCATAGATATTTTAGGTCCTGTGACAATTGAAACATCAGTTGAAATATCTCGTGAAATGAGTCAATTATGTACCGTATTATCGGATCAGGTACCGAACCACAGTCAAACATTTCACATAAAAACGTTACTAAATGATATGCGTCAACTTAACACCAGCCGAATCGGGGTACAATTTTTGGTACAGTGACTGTCATAGCCGTTTAGGGCTGATGGACAATTCGACTACACGGACAACTCACCAGGCCTAGGGTGGTGTAGCCAGTCTGCGGACAATTTCATTCAAACCGCTATAAAACAAAAACCAATATATCTAATCCGTTAATTTTTCCACCGTGGGTGCATTGGCAGCATTTATTCTACACGCTAAACCTCGTATTAACTTTCTACGACAAAGGGTTAAAGCTATACAAATCCCCAAAGTATGGCATTCGAAAGACGTATTTGCGACAAGTGTGCGACCACGGATTTCGAGCCTTGATCATCGTTTCTGCTGCGTCGAGACTATCGCATACGCAGCCATACAGCAATCAAACAGACAAAACACGGTGGTCGCAAATTGTTGGTCTTGTGACAGCGTGAAAACATTGGGCTTCTAATTGCATTTCTGACCGTCATATATTTCAAGAACACGGTTATTTCGAACAAAACTCGTTAAATTATAAACAAAGCACCACATCACAGCAATCAAACAGACGAAAACACGGTGGCCGCAAATTGGTTGACAAAGATATTATCGACGTATCGGAAATGCACACCCCCTATTCCCCCTCCTTCAAATGTAGAAACGCGAAACTTTCAAATATGGGTAAAAGAAACACAACTCTACCCACCTGCCAAGTTTCATCTTTTTATTCCTCATATTTGTATAGATTTTCAAGCTTTTGACAGCTACGAGTTAGTTCAGTGTCACCTCGCTGTGTTACGGTACCAGAACTTCTCTATCTTCAGAAGGTCCTGTCTTGTGACAGCGTGAATTGAAATTGCAAGATGGTCCGTTGGACACAAAATGGCGTCCGATATCGGCAAAACGTTTAGTGACGTCATAGCAAACAAAAACAAATCTTACAGAGCTAACAGAAATATTTGAAATAAATAAAAGTAATAGCCTTCTGGAGAAAAATTTCATCTTCAACCACTGAAAATTTTAAAGCAATTAGTCCAGTAATCAAAGAGAAAAGCGACTTTTTAAAAACGTGTCAAAGAACAAGAACAACAACATAATATTGAAACGATCGTTATGTCCACTACGTGTCCAACAACAACAACAACAACATAATATTGAAACGATCGTTATGTCCACTACGTGTCCAAAAACGTCACGTTTCAAATAAGAAATTAAGAATTATTCAGTTAGAATTAGGAATGATCTGAAAATGTTACCTTCCGGCGGAATCTGCATTTCTAACCTTAACTGGACAATTACTAGTTTACTTTTTTGAGCGTTAAAGAAAAATTTTTTTTTTTTTAAATTTTCTACAAAAGATCCGAGAAACCTGCACGGGTTGATTGTGTAATAGAAAGGATATTAAGTATTTTAAGGAATATCAAGTATCGAACTCATTATTGTTTTTAATTTTGTCAGAAACGATATTGCCAAACACAAAATTTCAGGTGCTCCCGAAGTATTCGTATCAAGATGGCGCACAACCTGAAAATAGTATGTGTAGTAGGTTAGGGTTGTTTAAGTTGTGCGTCATCTTGGTACAAATACTTCCGGAGGCTTATACATAGGCTATGTTTCATTACAGGGACAACAAGGGATCAAAGGTGTGAAAGGAGACACGACCGACTACATGAGAATACAAAACATGATGAGTGAGTTTGTTATTTTACCTACAGTATTTTCAGAAATGGTCTCGTTTGTTATTTTTGTACAGAGCTACCCAGCTTGGGGTAATCGTCCAGTCCTTCCATAAAGTGATATGACGTCACGCACGATTACGTCACTTGTCTATTGAGCTTTTTTAAATATTGCGTTAAATTTCACATAAAGTAAGCGAACAAATCCACTAAAATTTCTGAAATATTTTTAATTCAAAACATTTAATGGCATTTTGTGGAAAACTGATTCACGATGCAGCTACTGCGAAAACCGTTCAATTCAAAACGATCTAAGAGTTCTCCGCACGAAATTTATGTTTGCAAATATGTTTTTGGACGATGAAGTGAAAGTAAGGCCTGAACGCAAGTTTTTAAGTATACTCATTTTGGATATTCTGTGCAAAGCTCCCGCCACTAATGCAAAAATGTGAGCTAAGGAAAAAACACTCCCGCCACGTTTCAAAATAATATATTAATATTTATTTAGTTAGAATTAAGGTTCGGAATGATTCGAATTTCCAACGCAATCTGCATTCCTATAGCCCTCACCTGGCATGTATAGTTACTAATTTTTATATTTCGAGCTTTGTACAAAAGATCACTCATTTTTACTTCAACCAAAATTGTGACCTATTTTGCTCGGTTCGGTGGCCCTAAAACTGACATGACCAAACTACAGCCCGTGGGCCAAATTCGGCCGCTTAGGTAATTTGAACTGACCCGCCTGATGCTGCCACAACCAAACGAAAACCATATTTTGATGTTTTAACTGAAAATGAGCGCAAGGAATTGAGATTGCGATTAGATTTAGTTTTGTCGAGAGGCTTATTGTTTTCCGTTTTTGCTTTTGAAACACTGTAAATATTGTTCATAAAACGTAACTTTTTCCGTCACACCTTCATGGCCCGCCAGTCTAGGTGGGCAAAATTTTTGGCACCTGCTTCAAAAACTTTGCACACCTCTGCCCTAGATCTATAGTGACTCTTTTCGAACATGAATGGAAAGTATTTGAGTGGAAAATAACTATTAGCTGTTTTCTGTGAGGCTGCAAATTTATTCAGGGCACTTCACATTAAATTTTATGTTAGGTATTTCAATTATTTGGCTACCTTGAGATAATCTGTATACTGTATATATAGATTGTCTAGTAAGCACAATTTATTGATTCAAAAATTACGCAACAAGAGATTTGAATCATTTACAATTGTTTTGACTTCCGAGTATTCGTTTCAATTGGGCAGACATGACGGGTCATGAAAAGTCCATTCAGAATAACTCAACCTCAGCCAACTTTGTGACTGCACGCAGACATATATATATGTGTGCATGTAAACATGTTTAAACAAGAGAAGATCTTGTGTCATTGCCAAGGAGGCATGATAACGCACGAGTGGCACGCTAAGATGCACGCTCTTGAGAGTATTTTACAGCCATTCGTCCTGTTATTTTCGACTGCAGAAAAAATCGCCCTTTTTTCTATGAGTATTTCTTTTTTCTTGTAAATTTATCAGCACATCTCCGTTTTAAATTTGTTGTTTTAGGTGCAACAAGCTGCAAAGATCTGAACGAAACTTACGGAGTTTCTACAAGCGGATACTATTCATTGAGAACGATTGGTACCGGAGTTCTGGTCTCTGTTTACTGCGACTTCAGAATTTACGACGGTACGTAAAAACCTGTTTTCACTGGAAACTTTCTTGACTTAAAAATTCTCATTGAATATAAGTAACGTGGCCAAAAATAAAACGAAATTTACCGTGAAAAACAAAATTTTTTTTTTTTTCAAATTTGCTGTCTAATAAAGTTTGGAATATTTGAAAACAAATTTTCATAAGTATGCATTTTCTGTAATGTTGATGTTCCTTGAAATAATTACCTGTGTAAATCCCCTAGACTGGACGGCTGGGAAGACGTTTGTCATCGCACTTCTGATTATATCCTGCGCGGGTTTGCAAGTTCGAATCCACGTACAAGAGAATTGCTAGATTCCTCGTAGTAAGGTGGTTTACAAAACTGTTAGTTGGGTACGGCCTCCTCAGCCGTCAAATCCATACATCTGAAATGGATAAGTGACTAACTAGTTCCATACCCGACATGGAATGGTAACCGAACGAGAGGTCGAGGTTTGTCATATGATTAAACCGTCTTATGGACATCCATCTTCTCTGGACAAATATGAAAATCTTATCCTGTGCATATTTATACGAGTGAGTACAATCTCCAAATTATTCTACGATGTTTTACCACTTGACTCGTTTATTTTAAACAAACAAAAAAATCTCTGCTAATACAATGCAAAATTAATTTAATTAATTTTATCAGCACGTTTGCGTTGTAATATACCTGTTGTTCTAGGTGCAACAAGCTGCAAGGATCTGAACGAAACTCACGGAGTTTCCACAAGCGGATACTATCAAATAGAAACGATTGATACCGGAGTTCTAATCAATGTTTACTGCGACTTCAGAACTTACGAAGGTATGTCATACACCTCTAAACCGTTTCAAGATTTTCATCGAATGAAAGTGAAGTAGCCAAAAATAAAACAAAATTTACCGTCAAAAATAAAAAGGCATCTTCTAAAAAATTTTGTGGCTCGTGAAGTTCGAAATATTTGAAAACGGATTTTCATAGGTAAGATTTTACTGGAATGTTTATCATATTCTATTAAAATATTTACCATTGTAAGTCACCTAGGCTGGGCGACTGGGAAGACATTTGTCATCGCACTTCTGATTATATTCGCGCGGGTTCGCAAGTTCGAATCTATGTGGGAGGGAATGGTCGGATACGGGTTCCACCGCCATCAAATCCATGCATCTGAAATAAATAAGTGACTAACTAGTCACATACCACACATGGATTGGTAACCGGAGGAGAGACTGTGGGTCGCCACATGGTTAAGCCGGCTTATTGACCCTGCAAAACGTGCGCCAATACCGTTACGTAACTTTCGAAACGTCAAACCAGATTGGGTATTTAAATTTATTTTCTTAGATTACTCCATATATAGAGAAATATACACTCTAAAAAAACTTGAGTCAATCGCGTGACTAATTCGGAAGAATTAGGAACAAAATTACTCAATCGTGACTCGAGCGTCATTTCTCTCGCACTCTCACTCGTTTTTAAGTCAAATATTCTCTCGTTTGACGACCGCCTTCTTTCTCTCGCCGCTAATTTATCTGTTTATTTTTTAAAGTTGGAACCGGCGAAGCGTAGAATTGGGCGGGGAAATTGTTTTCGAAGTCGTCATTTCGCGTTGTCGACGGCGGTTGTTTCGGCCGAAGGTTCTCATGCAGCATGGCCACTCGCAGCTTTCGTGGCCTATCAGTTACGGTTAAAGATATTATGCTGGGATTTTTATTTTGCGTGAGAGGCCAATAGGACAGTTGGATGGGGTAGGCTAGGTCGTTGTTTTTTACAGTTGGATTACAGAGTGAATTGCTGTTATGAGAGAATGGAATTTAGCTTTCACCTGCTACATTCTGACAGTGCTAACAGTTTCGGAGCGGTTGTCCGTTGTCGGTAAGTGATTGCTAGCAGTGGATTCAGATAAGATTATCGAAATGAGCATGAACTGCAGTATAACACAACTGGGTACTGAGCCAAGTTAGGTCTGCCGGCCTAAGCTACCGGTAGGCCTACTGTCTGACTGTTAAGTTAACTTTATGTCTGAAGTAGGCTACATGCTGTTAGCTCAAGTTACAGACACACAGGCCTACAACCTGATGACTGCAGTCTGCTGGGTCTATAAAACAGTACAACTAGCCTATGTCAGTCTGCCATATCTTTCTTTCTTAAACAGTTACCGATAACTCATTGCAGTGTTAAATTGGTACTTTTATCGTTGAGATCGAGTCTTATGCAGGTCATCCCGACTGAGTGTAAATAATTGAGTAAGCTTATGCCGACCAACATCACTCGGTAGCTTCTCACAATATATAGTGGCTACTGGTATAGAGCCTGGTTTGAAGCGAAAAGCGAAGAAACATATCACCTGCATAAAAAAATCATGGTCATTCCTTGATGTCCTATTATTGTGGCACCTTGCCTGCCTTGGGAACTTACCGGTACTATTTTTGTAGTGTTATGCTCTGGGTCTAATTGATTCGGGCTTTTGACAATTGCAGTTTACTCCGTTTGATATAATACATTTTTTATTCTTTATTAGCTACCTGCCATCTGCATTGAAGTTTATCTCTCAAAATTAATTGTCGAGGAATTTCCAAAGCTGAAGTTGAAGAGGGAACAACCGGATATGTACGTATTTTCATTTTGAGATAATTTCGCTTTCCTACAAGGCATTATTCAATCTCATGAATCTTGTACACAATATTTCGTCATTAAGGCTGTATTCCTCTCTTCTGAAGTTGCCAAAATGGGTGTTAAATATGATTCTGTGTTTACCGACTTCAAGTCTGCTCTCTGTCAGCTTTGTCATTAGGGCTCTTTTGTTGTTATTGTTAAATTGCTAAAAATGTTTTTAGGGCCATTATTATGATCCTCTTCGTGGTTCCGGCTTTATAGAAAACAAGCTCAAAACTTTACGAAAACAAATGGAAATAGAAGATAAGATGTATAAAAAACAAAAGAGAAGCCACTCAACATATGCAAGTAGTTCCAGTTTTGGGAGTAGCGAAGATGCTGACACCAGTGGGAGTTGGGATTTTTTCATATGTGGTTATTTTTATTTCTCCGCAGCTAGTATTTTATTGGAATATTTTATATGTATATTGCTTTTCAGTTTAAATGGCTGAAAGAAACCACACCTAACAAGGACAATAAGGCAGAAATATATAACATAATGAAGGAAAGTCATGACTATCGTAGGCTTGAAATACAGCTGAAGCCTATGACCTTAACTGACATTTTAGAAAAGTACCCAAGGTTCTGTGATGCTTATGAGGGTGGATTGGTAAGTTAGCAATAAATCTAGATGTAAAGTGCAATGTACATAGGCTGTTTATTATTTTATTCATCACATCAAGATATTTTTAAGAAGTACGGATATAGAAAGCATCTTTTTTTTTCACATGTGCTTCTTGTGGACTCAGATTGACTGTGAATTTGAGATGATTTACCCGAAGTGTAGGAAGTTTATGGAAATTTTTCCACCACTCATTCAAAAAATTCTTAAAATGGATCAGGATTGTGTTCAGTGTGATGATAGTATGTGCTTTTTTATATTACTGATATTCTATGTATAAATACTGGTCGACTTAGAACTATCTCTGCCACATTGCCAACTGGGCGGCAGTGAAATAGCTTTATTATATCTATGTTTTTTGTGTGAGAGCATATTTCGAGTACTTGACACATTTTAGATGGACTAAAGAGTCTTCTAGTTCTATCAAAGATTTTGCCACCTCTCAACACAAAGGGGAAGAAAGGACAAGAGCAGTGGGCATTATTTAAGTTTCAAGGGGTGCGTACTCTGTTTCCTAACTTGTTTGCAAAATACCATAGCAGATGCAACGTGACATGTTTCTGAATGAGTTTTCAAAGTGATGACATCCTTTGGAAACTTATTCATTCTTTTTTATTCAGGCCGGCTGCAACGTTGGATATTATGCTGAAACCAAGCCTCCATCATTGAGACAGCCATTTTTATTGGTCATTGGTCCGAAATCTGATCCTGAGGAATTCTTCTTAATTCTTGACAAGAAAGCGGTGCCAGTTGGAAATTCATCATTGTTGGCTTTTTAAAGACTGTTCGCTTCGTTTTGGATTTTTGGAATTGAGTACTATGAAAAACTGGCAACTTTTTTCAATTTTTTTGAAGCTATTCTTTCCGGCATGGATCCCAAACCTCCAGTGGCCTCATTGTTGGCTACATTGGACATTGGACTGCAGTGCCTCTTTTTAACGTTCAAAAATGCAGATCTAATAGCCCGATGTTCATCTCAAAATGAGATTTTTTTTCGGAACTTTCAAAAGCGATTGTCTCATATCGCCAAAATTTGACATTGGCCACTACAGTTTTGAGTCGTCGATGTGAGCAAACACTGGGGGTCATAATTTTCATTATGATTTCTTTCTGTGAAATTTATTTCATTTTCTTTTGTTCATTGGTGATTGTGGTTTAGTCTGCATCTTCGGTGATTGTTTATTGTGTTGCTGTTCATACCCTTATATAGCAACACAATTAGCGGTCACCGAAAATGCAGACGCGCTCACGCTTGAGTGTTTTTGAAGTTCTTTTCCAAGAAAAATTTGGTATATTTAATTCCTGCTTTTTTGGTAAATGCATGGGTAACTTAAGAAAGTTGAAATGGGGCTGGGGGAATTGGAGTGGAAACCAATAACTCACTTGTTGGTGACTCTATCGAGTTGGAAACTTGACTCAAAAAAGAGTCACGCAAATGATCTTGACGACTCTATCAAGGGATAAATTTGACTCAAAGGGGAGTCATCGCACATGACTTTTGACGACTCTATCAAGGGATAAATTTGACTCGAAAAAGAGTCATTGTGCGTGACTCTTTTGACGACTCTATCAAGAGATAAATTTGACTCAAAGAAGAGTCAATGTGCGTGACTCAAGTAAAGAGTCAAATATTTCTTGACTCATTGAAAGAGTAGGAGGCTCGTTGAGTCAATATATTTTAGAGTGTACATCCCTTTAAAGATTCAGCATTTTCGTTGTATAATAGTATTTCTATGCCGCAAATAAAGCTCGGAAACAAAATTTTTCCATCAACATATAAAAGGGCATCTTTTGCTATTTTTCTTCCTTATAAAGCTTGGTATATTTCAATATGCAACCTAGTTATCAATTGCGCTAAGCGGTTCGTGCATCGTCCTGGGCATAGTAAAAACGCTTGTCATCGATGTGCAAAAGGATTGAGAACTCCTCCTCGTCGTTAGTCGTTTCCGACTTTCTCCAGCACCAAGTCCATGCATACGAATAAGTGATTACGTATTTCCATACTTGATAAGGACTTTCGATTAATTAAGTTGTTTTATTGACTATCCTTTTTCCGGAGAATAATCCCAAATCCTATCCAATAATAGAAGTCAGTATATATATCATTGTCTTGAAACAGGTGATCTTTAACTAACAATCCTGCGCGATGAGTGCGGCAGGGAAGGCTGAAGGGTCGGGTTTGGAATGTATTCTCTGTTGAAGTTGATACCAAATTGCCGCAAATTTGAGCCGGAGCGACAACAGTTAGATAATTGATATAATTATTGATGAATCATTGACTGCGGGTGCTTGAAAATCACTTTTGATTTAATGAGTCTATGGCTCTATGCAATATGCTAACTATGCAATGCAATTATTAAACACTCGGCGTTTTGTACGTGCAAAGTGTATTTTCTGTACGATGGAAAAATACACCACCTATCATTCAATAGGACTAGGTAACGCAGCAATTTTACTTCGAAAGAGTCACTTCAAATCTTTGAAGATTAGATTGTTCCGGCCGAACGTTTTTATGTTACCTCACTTAATTGACGCGAGTATTTCTCAAGCTGTCTATGTAAATCCTAACTATGAGATGGAAGGGAATAATTGTAATTAAGCTTTTCAATTTTCAGGCGTATCCAATTGTGCAGAGCTCGTATCGCACTACGGCATTTCAACATACGGGTATTATCGTCTCAGAATCAACTGGGGACATCCGGAATATCATCGATGTCCAGGTATGTTTATTTAACACAAAACGCTGTGCCTGAAGTCATGATAGCACCATTAATGTTTAAGACATCGAATGCACTTTTTATAAAATACTTCCGGCCACGGGATACGGGTCAGGACGGCCATTGATGCATTTGCAAATATTCTTTCAAAATCTTTAGATTTCGTATATTCTTTCCCAATTATAAGCACCTTGAGTGACGTGGTGGGTCTTTGATCACCAATAGACTCGTTTCATGCCCGCTCTCCCTCCTCTCGCAACTATACCCCTTATGGCATATATAACTATTGATAGCGTAACAGTACGCCGTTTGATAATTTGATACTTCAAACCAAAAACACGTTGTCACTATTAAGAAGGTTGCTCGTAGCCTTATTCAGAAAAACATAGGGTCGACCCCAATGCCAAGCACATAGGGGTGGGAGCGCAATGTCGAGTAAGATAAATGTCGGTCTTTCTGAAATTAGTAGCTTTAATGTATCTGTGATCGCAAGCTTAAATCCATGTTAGCAGTGAAGACGAGCGATAAAAAAACTATAATCTCTTGTTATTACTGAACAGATGTTTTCACGTGCAAGCAAATGAAGAAAAGAGACAGAATTACGCCGTCTGGAAAATACCTTCTCGGACCCGCCAACAGCCAATATGAGGTTCATTGCAACTTTTCTGGATCGGATGGTACGTTGATAATTTTTTTAATAGCTGTATTCTGCTTAGAAGCGCTTCCAAATACAGCCAGAGCTTTGTTTTGGGGATGGCTGTGGAGTCGGAGCCTTATTTTCAAACTCCCTCCCTTACGTCGAAGGTCAAAATTTCCTACTTTCAAATGCGATTACAGAAATTTACAACAGATACTCAAAACCAATTTACTAAGCGTGCTTGCATACTAGAAATTTTGTTACTTTTGAGAGTCTTGAAGTATGCGTACCAAGATGGCGGATAACGGAACGTAATACCGGTATATATATATATACAAGTTTAGGATTAGGCCATAACTTTATTCCAATTTTCCTTATTTTAGTTCTATAACGAGTTCGGGGCCTAGCCGAGTGACTCCCGTAGCATTTGTACCTGATAACCTTAACCTGGTACACATACTAGGTTCCAGTGTCCTCCCTCTTGGTACGCATACTTCACGAGTACCGAAGTTTTTGTTATTAAAATTAGATATTGGAGGAGCTGGAGTCGGAGGTAAAATTTGTTACCAGTCAGAGTCATTTTTTTCACCGGGAATCAAGGCTAAATTTTTTCACGTTGGAATCGGGGGTCGAATGTAAATTTCCCTCGAATTCAGTGCAGTCTGTGCGAGAGGTGCTCACAGAATAAATTATTTATCTGTTGTATTACCAATAAACAATGGAATATGAAATGAATCCAATTAAGGTCGCGATTATACGGAATTCATTTTCACCTCGGAAATTGGTATTGTTTTTGCTCAAAACAAGATTCAATTAACCAGATAATTTTTTTTATTTAAACAAAAAGGAAACCAATTATATACTGGCAATTCTTTTGAGGCAAATTTTCTAATTTATAAGAAATCCTATGGAAGGTTGGAGATTCACGGCAACTATTTGATATTACAATTACAGCAATCACTGAAATTCGACACGATTCCATGAAAGAAGTGATGATGCCACATTGCGAATCTCGGGGATGCTACTCCAAGATTCCTCGGTATGCGATCAGCCTGAATGACATGATCAAAATCATAGAGAATTCAAGAGAATGTCGGCAGTACATTGGGGTTTGTAACTTTCCTGATTCTTTTTGGCTAAGTAAGGCAATCGAAAATATTTTATCTTTTTTGTTCAAAATATTTAGGTCATTCCACTCACTTTTGAAAAACGTGTTTTATATCGTAAAATATCCTGCTCAAATATATCCTAAATGAGGCAACTATTAATTACATTGAACACTGTATCAAATAACTTATCTGCGTTTTATTTGTGCAAAAAAACAGGAGAGTAGTGTTTAAATATATGGATGCGCATCAGTACCAGTATGGCATAAGGGCATCGAGATCATTGAAAAGATTGTCGGATAAGCGTAGCGGAACGAAAATGTTAACTTCTGATTAAAATACAAAAGAGCAATGCTCAAATATATGGACACGCAGAACAATTCCCCAAAAATCATATGCGGTGACTTACCAGTACCTCTATCGGGGACCGGGGTACCGTGACTGTCATAGATATTTTAGGTCATGTGACATTGATTCATTCTTCTTGGTAATATTGAAACATCAGTTGAAATATCTCGTGTTATGAGTCAACTATGTACCGTATTAACGGATCAGGTACCGAACCACAGTCAAACATTTCACATAAAAACGTTACTAAATAACATGCGCCAACTTAACACCACCTGAATCGGGTTACAAATTTTGGTACAGTGACTGTCATAGCCGTTTAGGGCTGATGGACAATTCGACTACACGGACAACTCACCAGGTCTATCTGTCGTCGAGTTGTCCATGTGTAGTCGAGTTGTCCGCCTCTCATTTCACATGTCCCGTGACAATGATCTACTCTTCTCCATTCAATTGCAACATGAATTGAAATACTAAGTAATCCGTTTCATTCCCTTCTTCATTATTGGGACAAAATATAAAAAACAAGCCCCGCTTTTACCAGACAGCTACGAGTTAGTTCAGTGTCACCGCGCTGTGTTACGGTACCGGAACTGCCATATCTTTAGAAGTTCCTATCTTGTGACAGCGTAAATTGAAATTGCAAGATGGTACGACTCACAACTGTAGTAACACCATCGATCCGAGTCACTACTGTAATATAACACCAAGTACCGCTCTATTCGCCATTCACCATTCCTCAAATCTTAGCAAAGCAAGGATTTCATTACGAACCACCGACGTTCGATGGCACGTGATCAAAAGACATGAAGAGTAGTGCCATATGCGTCCGCAGAACGTTCGGTGACGTCATAGCAAACAAAAACAAATCTCACAGAGCCAACAGAAATTTTTGATTTAAATAAAAGTAATAGCCTTCTGGAGAAAAATTTCATGTTTAACCACTAAAATTTTCAAAGCAATTGGTCCAGTAATCAAAGAGAAAAGCGACTTTTTAGTTTTTCCACTAGGTGTCCAAAAAGTGTCAAAGAACAAGAACAACAACATAATATTGAAACGATCCACTGCGTGTCCAATAAACATACATGCATACAAAACCTAAGCTAGATTAAGACAATAATCAATTCCGACTTCATTTTCAAACAGGCGCGTTGTAGCGGAATAACACTATTGAAAAAAATCTATTCTTCTCTCCATATAGGCCCGTTGTCAAGGAATGGTGATTTTTTATGATAATCAATATGCCTGGTGGGTTTCTCGAGATGAAGAGAAAATGCTGTATTGGGGTGGAGCGACTTCTAGAAGAAATAATTACTGCGCTTGCGGAGAGACAGGTAACGTCTAGAAAAAAAAAAAACTCAAAATAAAAACTTTTTCCACCAATATCTACTGCAAACAAAGAAATATTAATCAATAATGCAGAAATAATTGTAAAAATGAACTTTCGCTGCGTAATAAATTCAAAAATGTCGAATTCTCTTTTAGGTTAAATCTGCATTACATGAAATGAGAGTCTGTAAACTCTGGAATTATTTAATTTGCGCAAATGTTTTGAGCGTCATGTCATGCCAAACTGCTTTACACGAATACGTTTGACCAAAGCTGTTATTCAATGGACTCGAATAGTGTCTGACATAACAATATGTGAGTGAATTGCATAACTTTTTTCTGCAGCACGATGGTTCACGTAACCGTTGGTTGGCTATGGCTTTCTCCGACCTTGACTTCTCTGGTTTGCATATAATTTTATTGGGCTTTATACAAAAATATAGCTTTGGCTTTCGCTACCGAATAAAAAACTCCTCATTACCCGGTAATTTGTTCAATATCAGATAATTATATGACATTATATGACTTTGAAGTTATCATCGACAACTCAGATTCGAACCCATGATCTCCGTTCCCGGCTGACAACTTAGTTAGGCGTAGAATCGAATCCAAAACATGTGATTAAAAGTAATCCGATGACATTGACCAGCGACGCCAACACGCCAAAATACGGTACCTCCAGAAGTATGTGCACCAAGATGGCGCACAACCTGAACATAGTATGTGTACCATATTAGATTCAGGTTGTGCGCCATCTTGGTGCACATACTTCGGGAGCGCCAAAATGCGTTATCTGATAAATCTCAGGGCGGCCTAGCGGTTAAAGAATTTGACTTAACTGTAATTGCATCGCATATTCCACATCTCGGGATTCGACTTCATAACCACACCTACGCGGGGTGTGTTAAATTAGGCAGGCAATACCAAACCGAAAAGATACTGGTCAATCCAAAAATTATTAGCTGTTTACATATCAATCGATATTGGTGGCTGCTAGTACACGGCCTTACTCGAAGCTAAGAGCATGATGATTGAGCGTAGTATGAAAAATGTCTAGCTATATAGTAAGCCATGAATCTAGAATTACACGCCAGAGGAGCAAGGCCAACGTTCTCTCACATTTTCGAAAATGACGAAAAACGATTAGCCTACTCTTTTTTTTATTATTTAAGGTCAATGTGCTGAAAACCTCTACAAATGCAATTGTGATAAGAACGACGTCGGCACCATCAGGGTGGACGAAGGATTCCTGACCGACAAGACCAAGTTACCGGTTAAGGAAATAAGATTCGGCGACATGGGGGATAATGGAGAAAATGGATGGCACACTCTTGGCAAATTAGAATGCATAGGTTAAAAACTCGAAACCGACGGAAAACTAAGAACACTGATTTACATTACAATGAATTTCTTTTTTTTATTTGTTCATATATTTCATATCGCTTACAACAAGACAACGGATAAGCAACCCCTAGCACATGCCAAGATACTGTTTTGGATTATAAGAATATTTCCGGTTGTTCATATCCTATCGGAAGTATTTCATCGGTAAATATCACGAATTAATTGTTTTTTTGAAGCGAATCGAAAATTATTCTATCGGGAAATATCACGCTCAAATTAAGGCAAACTTTTTCGTCATGTCAACGCTGAAAAGTAACTGTTGAAAGAGTCGAGAAATGTTTAAATAGCATTTCACGTAGTTCGATACTGTTAAAAGGTGTCAGTTGTTAAATGTTAAGTAGTATTTCGTCTTAACTTCTGTTACTTTTGCGTTGCTTTATTACCACCCTGTAGTTTGCTTTTGAAACGACTCGATGCGGACTTAATGATAATTTTTCAGAACTTCAACTCGTGCAAATTATGTAACGTTTGTGAATGATTTCAGTCAACTTAATAAAACATCTTCATCTTGCGAAAGTACTCAATCTGGCTGATAAATTGTGCAAATAGCTGAGTGGTTACTCTCCGATTTTAAAATGATAAAATCGTTTTGATAGTTATAGGTGGGAAATTAGTAGCCAAGGTCGATCCTTTATTAATTATTCGGGATTTTATCCTAAACATGACACTGTTCGAGCGGTCACTGACATCCGATGTAAAAAACCGACCGGAATCTTCCTATTTTGGCATCGCCTACCGGAATAATGTAGTTCCTGCCACTCTTGTTCCGGCCTTTCGCTCTAAACCAGGTGTTCCCAAACCAGGGGTCGCGAGGGTCGCAAACATGTCATAAGGTCTATGGGGTCGTTGAGGTATGATAGATGATGGATGTACAAAACATCTAAGATTTGACAAACCATGTTAAATTTAGCAGTTTGTACCAAGCCTTACTGTAAAACAGGCCCATAGGCATCGCTCTATGCCAGTGGTTCCCAACCTGGGGGTCGCGAAGGTCTTGCAAAACAGTATAAAATAATACAAAGCTTCAGGATAAACGTTGTCATAAGAACGCTAAGAAGTCTCGAATGGACACTCGTTTGTCTCCGAGTGATTTCCACTAGCTGTCGTAAGACCCCAAAATGTCGCTTCTTGCTTAAAAACCGAGCAAACAGCCCGAGATGTTCATGGCATGTTAACCATCGTGACGTCACACGAACTTGTCTGCATTTACGCGCAGCGCGACGCGGTAAACACGCAGACTTCGAAGCAATGCTGTGGAACGCCGCGGGTTCGATACCATGGGGTTTACTGCAGGGTATGTTTATAGTCTATGTCGTTCCAACGTGAAGATCATCATACATCCCGCAGTAAAGTTATAATTCCGTTATTTTATTTACCATGGCGAAGAAGCGACAATATGAGGAAGACTATTCGAAGTTCGGTTTTACATCATACGTCATCAGCGGAATTAAGAAGCTGCACTGTGGCTTGTGCAATGTCGTTCTCAGTGCTGAATCCACGAAACCGTCCTAATTGAAACATTGTTTGGAGAATAAGCATTCCAAATACATCTCGAACAATTTAGAATTTTTTCGACGACATGAACCCGGTGTAGGATGATATGAGATTAGCTTTGTCAAAAACTCAACCAATTACGTAGTTGGCTGCGTGGTTTTAATGTCAGCCGTAACATTGAGTAAATCTGCTGCTTGATGAAAAATTGAATTGCAAAATATTCACTTTGCCGCTCATTTTATTGATAAGTAAAAAAAGTGAGGCAGGGGGTAGCGAAGTAGAACCCTACCCTAAATCTTGTTGCGCGCCCGGTTGCAGGGTCGCTTCCTCCAGTTTGGAAAGCCCTGGTCGAGGCCAACCACTGAACTAGTGAAAAAATACCAGAAAATTAATGGCGGGGTAATCACAAAATAGTGCCAGATTTCAAATGGAAATGCATTGCGCACTTATAAGTATTTTAATATAAAAAAAACATTACTTACCAACTGTGACGGGTGGAAAGAATCAAGATGGACGACTACATCCCATATCAATAGTTCCGTACTGCATATAAATCCCAGACGTAGACTACAAGAGTGTTTTTGTAATTCAAACCCACCTTGCGGGCGAATTAATACAACGTATTGAACAACTATAAGTAGTAGGTAACGAAAACACTTTGCATAAGTCTAATAATACACGTAACTAAGTCTATTATTAAACCCTTTTTACTGCGTATTTTAGGGAGAAATATACCGCGAACCGATTCCCTACGGAACCCACGGAGCAGACAGAAGTATTTGGAACTTTCAATTCTTACGTCACAATATTCACGGGACGTAAATAGTAAAACAAGACATGTAATAATTTAATGGCTACTGTTGCCATATTTCTAAATTAACCTAGAAATATCCGGTTTTAATTTGGTACTCCCGTAGTTTGTGAACCAGGATGGCGGAAACCGGAACGTTGTATGTGTACCAGGTTAGGCCATATTTAGGGTTACCATATTTTTTTGACTTCAAAGCGGGACGCCTCCAAAGACACGACCCCTTAGCTGTAATCCTGTAACTTTACAGTTTCGGATTTTACTACATAGGCCTACATTCAAAGTCATCTCGGTTGTCTTCATTGTCCATATTGCTGTATTGTCATCGAGAGTTCATGCGCATATTATTCTCTCTCTAAATATCGGGTTCAGTTCGAAAAATAGAAAGAAATAGACGCTAACGATACAAATGATCCGAATTTAGATATTTTTATGTACAGCAAAAGGAATAAAGAATAATGAAATAGTCTGCCGTTTTCAAGCATTGAGAATTTACTTATTCGCCAAAGCATGCTTTTCTGTAGATTACAACCTTCAAAAAGACGTTGCTCAATGTCACATTCACGTGAACGTCCGAACAGGACCAATAAGAATTGATTTTACATGTGATACATCGCTAACAATGTTAGCGGAAACAACGAAACAAACAAAATAACGCATTCACCTTCAGTAAGTAGGCTAGCGTTGCGCTACACAGCAACGAGAACATGTTCGTGTATTATGCTGGATGGCTGAACGCAAAAGCGGGACATTTAGCTGACTTGTCGGGACGGCGGGACAAGACACTAAAAAGCGGGACTGTCCCGCCTGAAGCGGGACGTATGCTAAGCCTAGCCATAATTTCAGTACAAATACTAAGGGCGTCATTTGGCCAGTCCCCGAACTCGTAATAGAACTAAAATAGGAATAAATTTATGACCGAACCCTTACCTGGTACACATACTACGTTCTGGTGTCCGCCATCTTGGTTTGCATACTACAGGAATACCTTTAATTTAATATTAGAATATTGGACGGACTAAAAGTAGGCACTTCGGAAAAATGGAAAATGGGCGCAATAAGTGCCTAATCGATGGCGCCTACTGGTACTAATTTATAACTTTTGAATAACACCAATAGACTCATGTGCATCTTTAGTAATAAATTGGCTATTTTACGTAACATTCATAAAAAGATTAGAATTTGCATATTCATTGTCATTTTAAAAGGTATTAAGCCGTTTTACTTTTTTCCGAAGTGCCCAAAAAAGTGCCTAATTTTCGAGTGCCTACTTTTAGTCCGTTCCTATACGGGTGAAATAGAAAGAAGAAAAAAAATGGCTTAAGATTTCTCAGTCATCTAAATTAAATTGGTCTACACACAGATTGACAGTTGAGGCACGAGGAAAGTTCAGCTTGCGGGTATGGAATAGTTTTTTTTGGAGCGTTGACCTGATGGTGGAGGAAGCCATACCCGACCAGTGGTTACGTGAACCACCCTACGACGGCGAGGAGTCCAGCAATCTACTCGCACATAACTATCCCCGCACGGGATTCCAACCTGCGAACTCACGCTGGGTAATCAGAGGTGAGGTGGCGAGCATATTCCTGACGCTTAGCGCAATGCGCAACACCGCCAATCGAATTGAAGAACTGTTCAGTAATGTCTATACAAGCAGCTACTGATATTAATCACTAGGCCAGGGATGGCGAACTATTTTCAATGAATGGGTCAAAAATTACATTTTTATCGCGGAACAGAAGAGAGTGGGTCACAGATATTTATTCAATGTTTGTATCTATAAAAACTTCTGAAACAAATCTTACAACCTTCTGTTGGTGTATTTTTGGGCTTCACTTATGCAGCACTTCTATCACTTTTTATGCCATTCGATTTTATGAAATTAGAGTACGAAAACACGCATCTGAGTTACCAAAAACGTTTAGGTTGATACGGCAAATTATTTTACGGTTCCATAGAATTTGGAGGGAATATAGTAAATACATTTGGGGGTTAATTGCTATAGGAATTCCACTCTGATAATGTTATATTTTTTGATCAGCTTTTAACCACATTAAGTCACTTTTACACTGCCCATTGTTATTTCAGATTTCTAGATTTTTATTTTAAGTCTGAATGATTTTGTTTTCTCAACGGCATTGTAGACGATAAAATGCAGAGAAGCATATAGCTTCGTATTATTATTTGTATAACCCCTAAAACAGTCTGAAGATGCACTTCCGAAAGAGATAAGACGTTGCGAGAAATGGACATCAATTGCATTGTTATGTCATAAACGATGTCAGAGCCAATAGCTAGATAACGAAACAGAGCGGTGCAGACATGCGTCCAAGTTTAGGGGTTTTGAAAATTACCTTTACCGGCCCGAAAATTAACAAACTTAATATGAGCGATCGCAGCCCTGATTGCCCAACTGACGTTATAATAGTTTTTGCTAGAATATTTCAAGGCCGGTTTTATCAATTTTTATCACTGATATGATAGCATTTAATTTTATTTTATTCGTGCCTTAGCGGGTCACGAATAACACGCGGTGGGTCAATTTGTGACCCGCGGGTCAGTGGTTCGTCATCCCTGCACTAGGTTATCGCGTCTTCAATGCTGTAATTCCTAATTTAATATAATTGTTTTCAAACAATATAAATTAGGGTATATTTATCATTGTATATCTCTGTCAAATGCACCACGCAATTTTTCTTGTGTACAAATAGTTTTATCGATAAAAACAAATATTTATCACCCCCAATTTTAGTTCTATTGCGAGTTCCGGGACTCGCCACGTGACTCTCGTACTATTGGTACCAAAAATTGTGGCCTAACCCTAACCTGGTACACATTCTACGTTTCGTTGTCCGCCATCTTGGTACACATACTTCAGGATTACCCTTTTTTGTCGTTAACTGCATGGCTGATTCGAAAAATAATTTTTTTTTTTCTTTACGCCCCGTTTACCATGTGAACACCAGCATTTGTCGCATTGTAAGTGCCGTAGATGTGGAAATTTAGATATATTTTTTGGTAGGAGCGCTGATGCGCTGGAAATGTTCAAGCCTGTGTGTACCGGTACGAATTTGAAGTAGGTAAGCCTAGTCGTGACTAGTACTTTCATATCATTGAAGGCGACAGTCAGGCGCGACATTTGAAGCTTATAAAGTTAGCTTAGTGGGAAAGTACA